AGAGCCGGGGAGACGGTGTTGCGCTGGAGGGCCGGCTGCTGCGGGGACAGCAACCGGGGGTCGGTCAAGGAGGAAGTCACCAGCGATGGGGTCACCAGGGAGCCCCCGGGGTTGCTGAACGGCAGGGCGCTCTGGTTGGTCACTGGCACCGTCACCGGCATGGCGAAGTTGGGAGCAGGAACGGAGGACTGCGGAGAAAAGGGGCGGGGGCGCAGCTGAGCCCTGGCAGCCGCGGGGAGGGGCTCCCCTGCCACCAGCACCACCCGAGCGAGCGGCGGGACCAGCCACGCAGCCACACAAGGAACCACGGAGCATGGAGCTGCCCTGGACCAGCAGGAACGCTGGGATTCGGACAGGATCTCGGACCAGTTGGGTCCTCTGAGCGCACCGTTCTCCTGCTTGGCAGCTCCAAAGCGGGTGGGGAAACGCTGGGCGGAGGGCGCGAAGCTCACGGCCCCCGAAAGAGTCGAGGGCAGGCAGGCAGGCAGGCAAGGAGGAGCCAGCAACCTCAGCCTGACACAAACCGGGCCGGAACCAAGGGAGCAGCCACTCAACTCCCCCCCCCCCCCCCCCAGCAGGGCCCGGGGCCTCTGTGGTCTGCAGCCGCGCCGGAGACGCGTTGGGGGCCCTAGCAAGGGGAGGCACGCCGGTGAGAGGAGCAAGCAGGGCAGTCGGGGAGGCGGGGGGGGTGTCTTGGGGCGCCCCTAAAATTGTTAGTTCATTCTTAGACCAGTTTACAAGCTGCCCGGCTCCAAAGGACTGAAAGAGTCGGGCATTTTAATCGGAGGGGGGAGCCCATCGCACAAGAGGAGTTCTTCTCCTTCTCCTTCTCCTTCTCCTTCCTCTTCTTCTTCTCCTTCTTCTTCTTCCTCCTCCTCCTCCTTCTTCTTCTTCTTCTTCTTCTCCTCCTCCTCCTCCTCCTTCTTCTTCTCCTTCTCCTCCTTCTTCTTCTTCCTTCCTGCTCCTCCTGCTCCCCCTCCCCCTCCTCCTCCTCCTTCCTCTTCCTCCTCCTGCTCTTTCTTCACTAACTGCCGGGGAACCTCCGGGAGGGGCTGCCTTTGGTGGGGGGGCATCTAAGGGGTGGGGAGGGCTATTGGCAGGAAGGAAGGCTGTTAAGGGCAGGTCTCATGGAGGCCACGCGGCCCTCAAAGGGCCTTCCCTTCGGTGTGTGTGGGGGGCACCTTGGGGTCTCCTGCCCGCCAGGAGTAAAGCGAGCCTGGTTGGCAGATGATTTCCTGCGGCTGCTGCTGTGTTTGCACCGAGACCCCCAAACCGAAGGGAGGGAAAGGTGAGAGGAAGGCTGGCCAGCCCTGGGACGGAGTAGGTTGTTCCTCGAGGAGGGGCTATTTTCACGTACGTTTGTTTAATAAATAAATAACCACGTACATAAAGCCAGCCTGGCCTCAGGCCCAGCGGGCAGGGCGGCCTCCTCCGGACCTGTGTTTCCCTGGTGGGGTCCCTTCCTCGATCTCCTCAGGGTACCAAGCCCCCCCCCCCACACCCCCAGGCCTCGGCTCCCCCCTTGGCAGACGGGGCAGTCTTGGCAAGGCAAGCGGATGTCGGGGAAGAAGAGCGTCCACACGCGTGTTAATGCCTTGAGGACGTGCAGGGCCGCCCCGTCCGGCGGCCGCCCTGCCCATGCGGAGGGGAGCGAGGGGGCTGCCCCGTTACTCACTGTGAGCCTGTAAATCTGCATCATTTTATCAAACTCCTCATCAATCTTTTTATACTTTTCTTCGGTCTGGGGTGTCAGGGTAAAGATGTCCTCCCCGTCGGCACTCTCGCCCTCTCTATGCTTCTTGTTCAGCGCCTGTCCGGCCAGGGCGGGCGGGAGGGAGGGAGGGGGGCAGGGGGGGGTCGAATCCAACAAACAGATGAGAACGAGAGAGAAGAGAGAGAGAGAGAGAGAGAGAGAGAGATGGTGAGGGGTTTCTGGCCGGCTGGGGGCGGCTACTTACGCCGTAGCGCTTGAAGAAGTTGTCCAGGTCCTCACTGGCTTTGCGGTATTTGTCCTCGGTCAGAGGGCTCTGGTCAACGGAGTCTTCCCCGTCGGGCTCTGGACTCTCGCAACCATTGAACCCTTTCTTTCGCAAGGTCTGAAAGCACAACGGGAGACGCTCAGGAGGGGCCTCGGGGGGTGGGGGGCAGAGGGGACGGGAGGCCAGCCCCCCCCGGGCTCCCCAGTGGAGGAGATCCACGCAACCTCTCCCTCCCACCCCTCAGCCGCACAACGGCCCCCTCCTCCCCTGCCGTCCCCCTGGGTTGCCCTCGTACCCCTGCTGGGTCAGGGTGGCCCTCAGGCCAAGCCAGGCCGGATCTGGGGTCCCTGCGGGGCCTGGGGCCAGCAGGAAGAGGCTCTGCTTCCTGGAGACGACAAGGGCAGGTTGAAGCCCAGAACTTGGTCCCAGGAACTGGACAGAGACCCCATGGATCCGGAGGAATCTCGGGGACCTGCTTGGCCCACTGCCTTCCGCGTGCGTCCCCCTCTCCCCAGGCAGGAGAGAAGCGGCGGCGGCGGCACACTTCCTTCCCCGGCGTGTCACGAGGACATCCAACGGCATGTTTACCAAGTGTTTATTCCAGGCATGGCAGCTGATTTGAAGGCTGCCTTCCGCTGCCACACTTAATCACGGTGTTTTCAAAATACCAGAAGCAATTAGACCCCATTACGGAGCCCCCACTCGCCAATCCTCCCGGAAAGTCAACTTGTGCAAGCCTGTGAAGAAGTCTTGAACTCTTGTGGGACTAAGGAGAAATGGTGTGTGTTTGTGCACGTGCCAGAGACAGAGACAGAGACGGAGGGAGGGAGGGACAGGGAGAGGGAACAGAAGAGGGGGAGGGAGAGAGGGAGAGGGAGACAGAGAGAGGGAGGGAGAGAGAGGGGAGAGGAAGGGAGAAAGAGGGAGAGGGAGAGAGAGGGAGAGAGAAAGAGGAAATGGAGGAGGGGAGGGAGAGAGGGGGAGAGCACAGAGAGAGAGGGAGAGGGAGACAGAAAGAGGGAGAGAGAGAGAGAGAGGAAGGGGAAGAGGAAGGAGAGGAGAGGAAGGGAAAAAGAGGGAGAGAGGAAAGGAGGGAGAGAGAGAGAGAGAGAGAGAGAGATTCCAAACCTCATTTCAGCCAAAAAAGAGAAGCTTTTCTGGATTAAATCCATGCCCGGAGCAACCGAGGGAAGAGACCCAGGTGCAGAAATAAGGCTAAACAGGCATGGATTCCTGGAGCAAACATGGTTATGAACACTCGGGACTCCCCCCCCCCCCCAGTGTACACTCATGGGCTGTGAGTGACCATGATTAATTCACGGGATCATAATTCTAGAAAGGAAGAGGAGGAAGCCGCTTCGGGAGAGAAAGAGCCAGAATCCAAGAGCGCCGACCTTTACCCTGAGCCGGGGGGGGGGGGGGGGGGGGGCGGGGGGCGGCCCGCCCCCCCCCCCCCGGGGGGGGTCCCAGGGGGGGGGGGGGGCGGAGGGCAGCTGCCCCCCCCCCCCGCATCCTCCCCCCACTCCACAGGGCAGCTGAGCCTCTTGCCCCACATGCCCTTCCCAGCTCCGGAGCGGCCCAAGGCGGCCAGAGGGAGAGGAAGGGGCCCTGGAGCCGGGAAGGCACCTTCCCACAGCCACCACAACGCGGCCGGAGTGAAGCACCTCTCCGTGGCACAGACGTTTAATGAATAAATAAATGAACAAACAAAATAAAAACCAGGCTCCTGCTCATCACCAGCCTGCCAGCCGCGCTGAAAAACTAACACGACACGCAGAAGGCAGCAACCGAGGGCACACAGCTCACCACTCAGCTCTGGGCCCACAGCACCCACCGATTGGGGGGTGGCTGTGCCAGCCCAAATGACTCCGCTCTCCTTTACGTCCCCAACTTAACCGTCGGGCTAGGCAAGACTATAATCGAGGTTGTTCGAAATATTCAAAATACCACTCAAGGTCGTTAAAGGAATTTGGAAGAAAAAACGCTCCCGAGGACGGGGTAGGCGCTTCCATTTGGATTCGGAAAGGGAGGAAGGTCTCCCCAAAGAGGCACCTCCTCCTGTAGGGAGACTGCCCGTCTGGAAGGCAATAAGTGGCAGCGACACACACCACACACACCACACACACACGCAGGCAGGCAGGCAGGCAGAGTGGCCAAGACCCCAGGGAAGGCAAGGCCTATTTAGGACAGCCTTAATCCTTCATTCAGATTAGTTGCTTTCCTGGCCGCGGGGCCTCCATCTTACCTGGATTAACCCATTTCGCTTCTCCTCTGCCCCAAGCGACTTCCCTGGCAGCTTTGTGCCCAATGCCAAACAAGCCCGGGGGGGGGGGGGGGGGCTTTCATCTGGAGAGAAGCCGGGGGCTGTGGAGGGGAGGGCCAAGATGGGGGCTTTATCAGTCAGAGGAGCTTAGCTTGGCAGTCCTGCCACCCTCCTCACGTTTCCTCACATGGGCAGACCGCCATGCCACCTGGAAACGCTGCTTCGCCCCAAAGGACGCTGGATGGGAAGCAAGGAGAGGCCCTTTCGGGTTGGGGGCTGGTGGGTCAAGGCAGCCGCGGATTCTCCTGCATGGGCTGCGGGAAGCTCACGCCAGAAGATCCTTCGCTCCGCCACGACGGCCATCCGGGGACGGGCCCCGAGTCCCTGCACTTCGCCAAAGGATTGCAATGAAGGGCCAATCGGGGCACTGCCAACGGAGCTGGGTGCAAGGGGGGAAGCTCAGGCCCATCCCACAGGTGACCTCACGACTCTCAAGTCCTGGACCTCTTTATATTTTGTTCCACTTGCACTGACTCTGTCTGTGTGTGTGTGTATGCGTGTGCATGAACGTCCATGTGAGCGAGTGTGCAAGTGCGTGCCTAAGTGTGCACCTGGCACAAAATCCCCTCCCCCTCCCTGCAGAACGATCCACCCCCTCGCCAGCCTCTCCCATCTTGAGCAGATAAATTGAATGACTAAAGGTTTTGTGTGCCTTAATTTCTGCTCACTTGTAATGTCAATAATTACCCAGCCAAACCGTTCATTTGTCTAGATCCTGCCAAGCGCAGAGGCAGCCACCCGCGGGCAAACATTCACTGAAAGGTGACAAAGAAGTGGCGGCAGTGGCGTCCCCCGGGTCCCTCCTTGGGAAGCCATCCGTGCACCGAGGGGGCCGGAGGGAAAGGCCAGCCGGCCACGCTCCCGCCCGGGACTCCCTCACTCACCTCCGGCCAGCCCTCCCGAGCATGCAGGATTCACACTCGGCGTGGCCGCAGTGGCGGCCCTGACCGTGGTCCCAGGCCGTTGACCAAGAACCACACCACCTGCTGAAGGGTGACCCCTGTGGGGCTGAATGGAGCCAGTTCCAGGGACTGTGGCTGGGGAGGGTTTGCCCATTTTCTGCCGCTTAGGATCCCGGGCACACCTGCTCAGCTCAATGGCCACAGAGCAAGGCTAAAATCCTACCCCAATTCTCCCCGGAGCTCCGGCAGGGATCAGATCCACCGAGCCAAGCCGGGCTCTCCAGCTGGTCTCCCGCACGGCGGGGCGGGTGGCTGTGCAGGCCGGCGTGGAGGGTGAGCCCAGGCGTGGGACCCCCCCCCCGCCTTCCCGGGCAAGGACGGGGCGCCCTACCTCGATGATGTCCGCGTTGGTCCGGCTCTCGTGGGGCTCGTTGTACTCGGTGTACTTCAGCAGCACCTTGTCCATGTCTGTGCTGGCGTACTGGAAGAGCTTGTTGGAGTGGTTGAAGATGATGAGGGCGATCTCGCAGTCGCACAGGACGCTCAGCTCGTAGGCCTTCTTCATCAGCCCAAACTTCCGCTTGGTAAACGTCACCTGCGGCAGACAGCAGCCGCCTCAGCGTGGGGAGCGGGGAGCCCGGAGGACGCGCCCACATCGGAAACCACCCAGATTCCCCCCCCCGCCCCCCCCCCCCACACCCTCCCCGGGTTCGGAAGGCCGAATCGGGAGGGAACCTGGGAGAGGAGCTCAGGTCTCCTCCGCCTCGGCCTCGACACTCCTTCCTTCCTTCTCTCTTCTCAAGATGGAGGCCGTGGCTGAGAAGTGACTCCGGAGGCCGGTTCCCTGGGGCTACTTTTTTGACAAAATGAGGGTGGGGGGTGGGGAATGCAATAAATTCTATAACCATCCCTGGCACTGTAGGATCAACCCTTCCTTCAGGAGGTAGGACACCCTCACATAAGGTAAATAAAATCTTTCTTTTTTTAAAAAAAGGGATAGAATCTTTTTTTGTTGTTTTTTTTAGCTTTAAGTAACATTCCAAACCTTTAGTGATAAAAGAGATAAAAATGAAAATGTGTTCAAATATAATCACTTACAAGGATCTGGCAGGAATAAAGGTATTTAATTATGAGGAAACAAGGCAGATTATAAGGTGATGCTGGCCTCTGGGTTTAAAAAACAACTCTGTCATCAAGAGACGCAAGCTGCATAAAATAGACGAATACTGAACTTGCACAAGGAGAATAAATGCGAAAGTCCTCCAAAAAGTCCGTCCCCGCCACCGCCACCGACTCTACCAGCCCTGGGCTTTTCCTCCCGATCCCTGGAGATTCCTGGCAATTAATTCTGCGGCTTCTGGAGACGTGGAATAGACCCCGTTTCCTCTCCCCGCCTTGTTCCCAGCCCTGGGTTTTAAAAAAGCAAAAGGATTTTCTCGTTGGCATAGGTGGGGGGAGGGGCTTGGGGGTCAGCCCTGCCCACCTGATCTCAGCACACTGGACCGTCGATCCCGCCCGTGACCCAGTTCACGTCCACCTTTCTCGGCTGAGGGCCTTCCTGCCTCTGGGGAGGCTTCCTGGACCGTCCTAGAAGGGAGCCCCCCCCCACTTTCCGAAGGGTCACAAGTCGAAAACCAGAACCAGCCAAATTGCACCCAGGGGACCTTCCTGGATCCAGTGTCCCTTTGCCACCCGCTGCAAGGGGTGGGGGTGGGGGAAGGGCCAGTTGGCCACCTTGGAGCAGAGTGGCGGGAAGGAGAAGGGGCCCCGCCCCGCTTCGGGGTCTCTGCGGCCAGCCGAGGCTGCAAAGTGGTTAATAAGATTGACTCCTAATCGCCTTTCATCCACCGGAGTGCCGAAGGACACACCGCCAGGCCTCCCCCGCCCACCCCCAGGAAGTGGGATCAGCTTGGCTCTTTCCTCTGCTGGGCAGTCACACGGCCAGGCCCTGGGGTGGCAGAGCGCTGGGAGGTCAGCGGCAGGCAGCTCTTTCTCTCCTCCGGCCTCCTCCATCCCAGGGCAAGGCTGCCCACCGCCCCCACTCCCCCCCCAATCCCCACAGGGCTGGCGCTGCAGCCGGTGGGGGGGGTTTGGAAGGGCAGGGGTACGCAGCTGACTTCCCAAATGCCGGGCAGGGGATTGGGCTGATGGGGAAGCCAGAAGGGCCAGAGCTTTGGCCAAGCCGGGCAACCCAACGCCCACCCCGGCTGGAAGCCAGCTTTCCTGGTGGAGGAGCAGGCCGCTTCTGAACCTGAACCCAGCACCCAAGACCCCGAGATCCACTCTGCTCAAGCCAGGAAGCCTTGCCCGGGCAGCCTCTCTGTGTGCCCTGAAGCTGCCCACCAGAGTGAGGGTTTTGTGGGAAAGGAGAGAGAGGTGGTCTCCCCCCACCCCCCCGGGAACGCCCGACGCCCCATTGCCAGGATGCGGCCTCCTTGTCAGGATGAAGCTTTCTGACTCCAGTACTGTGGAGCAGCTGCTCCTTCCCAGATCTGGGGGAGCGCAAGGGCTTCTCCCCTCGTCTGCCAGGAGGGCCCCCGCGGCCCCTCCCTCGGCCCCCTCCCCTGGCAGGGGAGGAGAGGCCCTTGCTCAGCCCGCCAGCCCAGCTGGGCTCCTCCTCCGGGTGTGGGACCGGCCGAGGAGAAACCCCTTTTCCTCCCGGGCACGGCTGGCCCCCAGGGACCCAGCAGCAGAGGGAAAGGCAGGGGGATGGACGCAGGGCAAGGAGACCCCTACCCAGAAGATCCAGAGGAGCCTGCTCCCCATAGGAGCCCCCCCTGGGGAATGGGTTGTTGCCCACCCGCCGGGTCAGGTGAGACAGGGACCCCCTGCCCGTCCTTGGTCTCTGGGCTGACCTTGGGGTGTCTGTCCCATCCGATTTCCCAGTAAACCTGTCACCCCCGAGGGCAGCTCTTGGGCCTCGTCCTCCGGAGGAGGCAGCCATGCCCGTCCCCAGCTTCCCTTGGCTGCTCATTGGGACGAGATCTGTACCTGCCACGGACCGGTGGGTTTCCTATCACCAGCGCTAGGGCACAAGGCCATGCCTGGGCAGAGGGACGCGGTGATGCCCCTCAGCTGCCCTTGGGGACCGTTTCGCCCCAGAGCCTCTCTTGGGTTGAGGGAGGGAGAGGCTGCCGCGGTTCCCCGGCCCTGAAACTGCCACACGGCTGGCTCTTATTTTAGGAGGAGGAGAATTAATTCCTCTGTTCGGCTCATCATTCTCTGCCCCCAAGTAGACTTTAAGGCCAAATGACAGGAGGAGGAGGAGGAGGAGCAGAAGGAAAAAATAATAATAAAAAAGAAAAAAAGAAAAGAAAAGAGGAGGAGGAGGAGGAGGAGGAGCAGAAGGAAAAATAAATAAAAAAATAAAAGAAAAGAGGAGGAGGAGGAAAAGAGGAGGGGGAGGAGGAAAAGAGGAGGAGGAGGAGGAAAAGAGGAGGAAAAGAGGAGGAGGAGGAGGAAAAGAAGAGGAGGAGGAGGAAAAGAGGAGGAGGAGGAGGAAAAGAGGAGGAAAAGAGGAGGAGGAGGAGGAAAAGAAGAGGAGGAGGAGGAAAAGAGGAGGAGAAGGAGGAAAAGAGGAGGAAAAGAGGAGGGGGAGGAGGAAAAGAGGAGGGGGAGGAGGAAAAGAGGAGGAGGAGGAAGAAAAGAGGAGGAGGAGGAGGAAAAGAGGAGGAAAAGAAGAGGAGGAGGAGGAAAAGAGGAGGAGGAGGAGGCTGGCTTTGGACAGGGCTGGAATCGGTGACATCTGGAAGCTTCCTCTGGCATGAATTTGCAGCAACCCAGGGAGTTATGGCTTCCCCCTGGGACCCAAATCAGCTCCTGTCCTTTTCAGAGCCTTCCTTGAAGACCCCTGAGACCCCACCAAGAGAAGAGCTTCTGCAGGGCCTTTTCATTGGTGGCCTCCTCCCCAGAACAGCTGCCCCCCCCCAATATCCAGGACCCCTTTCCCACTGGAACCACAACAACAGGGCTCCGCGAAAGGGAACCTCCCCACCCGCCTTGGCTGCTGCCAGCCGTCGGGGGGGGGGGGGGGGCTTTGCTCGGCCTTTTGTCTCGCTGCTTGGTTAAAGCTACTCACAGCCATTTGCAACTGAGCCACTAACAAACCACCGCAAACAAATAAATAATAAACAAATGTGTGCGCAGATGCCGCGAAGGAAAAAAAACCCAACCGCAAACATAATGTGGAGGCGCAGATGTTTGTAGCAAGATTCTTTTCATCCGGTTCCCCCCACCCCCAACCGCCTGAGAGCTCACCCGCCCGTGTGCGTGGAAAGGCTGGGCAAAGGAGGCAAAGGGGCAGAGGCGCCCTGGGGGGCCCAAAGGGGCAGCGCCCGTTCCTGCAGGACTGAGCCCACGAGATAAAACCTCCTCTAAAGCAGCACTTCCTGTTGGGCCTGCCGGTCTGCAGAGTTTCCAGCACCCAAAGCACTTCGTCTCCGGGCCTGGCTGCAAACCTGACAGGCGGGCGCATGCACCAGAGGTGGGCTACAAGCAGCAGGTTCAAACATGGGATGATCCCCTCAACCATTTTGGACTCCGCCTCAACATCAAGAGAACTGGGTACTTCAAGACAGTCACCACCACTGAAATGCTTCAAATCAATGGAGAAAACCCAAAGAAAGTGGACATTTTTCGGTATCTGGGATCTCCACCTCCAAGGCCATGGTGACCTCAATGGCGAGGTGTGAGCAAGGATGAATGCGGCCTGGATGCATCTGGGAAAACTCCCCGGTGTGTTATGGGACGGACAACGTGTCTTAAATCTAAGCTTTACAAGACAACCTTCCCCCCTGTTGCACCGTATGGCACTGAAGGCTGGTCAGCAGCAACTGGGACTGAAAGTTCTCCCCACGCCATGGAAATGCAAAGGCTCCGTTGGATATCGGGCACCTCCCTTCTTGGCCACATCACAAATGACACCATTCGACAACATTTTGGTGTTTATTTATGTATGAGAGAAGGCCGACTCTGGTGGTATGGACATGTCCAGGGAGCAGCACCTCCCACCATGGCCAAGACTGCCTACCAACTAGAAGTCAATGGCCGGCGGCCTCATGGGCATCTAAAAGAGAGATGGGAAGACACCATCAACAAAGATATGGAAGCCTGAGGCCTGGAGATGCAGCTGACCAGGCAAAGTGGCCTTCAACGACCTGAAAAGCAGATCGTGCATTTGTGGGATTACGCGGAGGAGGAGGAGGAGGAGGAGGAGGAGGAGGAGGAGGAGATGATTACAGAAAAGACATTGAGACTCTGGAAAAAGTGCAGAGAAGAGCTACTGGGATGATTAGAGGCCTGGGGACGTAAAGATATGAAGAACGGATGCAGGAACTAGGTCCGTTCAGCCTATCACTAGAAGAGACTGGACAGCCACTTGTCTCAAATTGTGTAGGGTCTCCTGCTTGAGCAGGGGGTTGGACTAGAAGACCTCCAAGGTCCCTCCCAGCTCTATTCTGATTGATTCTGGTCGAAGTGGGGAGCTGGTGGCACAGAGTAAGCCCTTCCCTACACACACACAGACACAGATACCCACAGAGGCAACCGATGGGATCCTGCACAGCTTGTCCTCCTTGCCAGCAGGCCATTCAGGGC